AAAAAAAAAATTACATATACCTTTTCCCCAAACTGTGTCTGATGATCGATTCCTAATGGTTAGAATAAGGAATGCCTTCCTTCACTTTACTGGAAATTTTGGTTTAAATGATCACACAGTATAGCATGTTTACAAATTGAGAACAGCATAGCAACCAAGCTGCTATGTCTTATATTCTAAAAATAAACCCACAATTTACAGATTGTGGCTGCATCTGCATTCTGAAACAGCAGGTATTTTTTGCTCACTTAACTTGGTGATACTGTATTATTTTCAACAACAAAAGTTTACATTTTTTTTTATTAGAAGGTGAAATTGTGGAAAAGGTTATATAAATAATGACTCATTGTGTCAAAGAGGTATATTTCTTTATGAGAAAATAAGTAAAAGAAATGAATATTCAAGGAAGTGGTTCTTATTCCCTACAACCTGGATTTAAAGCCATGCTGAACATTAATGAGAAAGTTAATACTATTATAAAAAAAAAAAAAGAAAATGTGGCACATATACACCATGGAATATTCTGCAGCCATAAAAAAGGATGAGTTCATGTCCTTTGCAAGGACATGGATGAATCTGGAAACCATAATTCTCAGCAAACTGACACAAGAACAGAAAATCAAATACTGCATGTTCTCACTCATTAGTGGGTGTTGAACAATGAGAACACATGGACACAGGCAGGGCAACAACATACATTGGGGTCTGTTGAGAGGTGGGGGGCTAGGGAAGAGATAGCAGGGGGTGGAAAGGTTGGGGAGGGATAACATTAGGAGAAATACCTAATGTAGGTGAAAGAAGAATGGAGGCAGCAAACCACCATGGCATGTGTAAAGCTATGTGATAATCCTGCAAGATCTGCACATCTTAAACTATAATTTAAAAACAGAAGAAAAAAATTTAAAAGTCCAGATCTTAAAGTATAAATTAAAAAAAAAAGGGAAGAAAAAAAATTTTTAAGTCCAAGAAAGAAATTTTGAGAAGAGATATCTAGAACGGAGAAGAATCAATACAAAAGTACAAAGAAGATAAAAGAGAAAAGAATTTCAAGAAAACCATAAGCCACAATATATAAAAGTCAATTAAGAACCAAAATATGCTCATTGGATGCATCACTTAGGAATTCTGTCTATCATCTATTAGATATTTTGAACTTTTGGGTTATATCAGAATAACTAAGGGACATGTAAATTGAAAAAATGTTTTATTTAAACACATCAATAAAGGAACCTCTAGTTTCCACTTAGAAATATTGGAGTACAATTAATATCATGAAAGAAGAGTCAAGATTGACACCCTTACTGTGACATTTTTCTTTAATCTATTTATCATCATCTGACATAACATTTTATGTATTTGTCATCTACCTCCTGACAGTGGATGTAAGCTCATAAAAGGAGGCACTTTATTTCATTACTACTGCATTGTCAGTGTCTAGGACAGGAGGTGCACAAATATAGCCCACCTCTTGCTATTATAAATAAAGTTTTATTGGAATACAGCCATGCCTGTTTATATTACCTACGACTGTTTTGGCAGAGCTGAATCATTATGACAGAGACCATATGGCCCACAGGCCTAAAATGTTTATTATCTGGCCAGTTGCAGCAAAAAAATTTGCCAACTCCTGGTCTAGAACAATACTTGTCTATAATGAGTGCTCAATAAATATAAATGATAAATGAGAGAATTAATAAAGATATTATTCTTAATCATTGAACATATGTTGACAAAATTACGTAATCTTTCTAAGCTTTGTTTCCTCACTTATGAGAATGGGATATAATAGTATATCTTAAAGGACAGAAGTGAGCATTACATGAGATATACATAATTAGCAAATGGTAAAATTAAAAAAAAACAAAAATACTTGTTCCCTTCCCTGTGATCCCTTAAAATGCTACCTGTGAAGGTAATTTCACGGCCTGCTGACTGGCAACTTGTGTGTCAGGACTTGCTTCGTATCACTCTGCTTGGAGTCCCTCTGGTCAGCAATATGAAGACAACATAATAATATTGATCCACCCAAATAAGATGTTCTTCTGTCCCTAGCGGTTGTGAGACTTAGACTGCTCTATCATGACAAAAGTGATAGAGTCTAGGTAAAGTCACAGGCCCCCAACTTCCAAGTCATCCCATCCCTTTAAGGTCATTATTTCCTCACTGACATTATGTTGCTTGCGACAGAAAGAGAAGTAAATAATAAAAAGAGACACTTGGGATTGATAAAAACACTGGCAATGATTTTCCAGGGCACAGACTTTCACCTCTCTCATTGTGTTAGAGGAGTCCTTCAGTATTCATTGGCATTCTCTGCATTGTAGTGCACTGTTCAGTGCAGTTCTCAAGACCGTTCAGTCTCTTATTTTTTAAAAATTTTTGTTAGTTTTATTTTTTTAATGGCTGTTGGACATCCAATGATAAAGTTTATTTTTAATGTCACTTAGCTTTCAAAAAGTACTAGAAATAAAAGCTATTAAAAGCTTTTGTTCTTAAACACACACACTCAACCAAGAGAGATATTTTCAATTTTATTTTTAAAAGGGACTTGAACATTAAAATTGAAGCCATTAAAATTGGCAGGTACTAAGTAAAAGAAAGGAGAAAATACAAATATTTCCATTTTCAAAAGGATTTTAATAGCTAAAAAATGAGAAAAGACAATATAAGAACAGGAAGGTGTTAGAAAAACAACATTGCTATTAAATATATGTGTCCAGCTCTTTGTCATTTAGATCCCAAATGTCCATATTGTTTGATGCAACCTGAAGTTATCATAAATTTCACAATTCCTATATTCTGTGGATATCAAGACATTTCCATACTTGAGTAAATAATTATGTAGTGAGATTCTATGTTTTGTGACACACTTACTATTAGATGTTAGGCAATACAAAAGTGGCTGGAAAGGCCATAATATCACCTCAAACAAAGCTTATTATATTTCCTGAGAATATCATTAGAAATATTTTCAAAGTATGACTTTCGTCCAGTTAATGATAAACACACTTTAATCATAACTAAATGAGATGTAAATAGAAGAATGGCTTGCCAATATGTTTTAAAGGTAATTAATTTTATCCTTTTGTTTTACCATCTGAAGTTTGAAATTTGTAATTTAAAATATTCTATGTAACTTTGGTCATTTTCTTGTTTCTAAATGGTGAGACAAGATTTTCTTCAGGATGCTGTTTGCAAACATTTTTCTCCAAATAAAATATTTAGGGTGGATAGACCTTGTTCATAATAAATGAAAAGATAAATTGTCTATAAATGCACTTATATTTCTCATTAACAATGACTTTGAAGTGTTAGAGACATCTTGGTGTGTTACACAGTTTTGATCAAATGAGCATAATTTACAAACCTAGTAAATGCTAGATTACTGTGAATTTGCAGAACTATTTTCACTTTTGTGATCATCATTATCTGATTTTTAATTTGTTTACATAATAGAGATGTTACCAGTCTCCTCAGTCAGATTACATTGGTTCAAATTCTACGTCTGCCTGACCTTGAAAAATAATCTAACCTCCTCAAAGTAAAACTTCAAAAATCTTTAAAGTGAATATAATAGTACCACATAGTTCTGCAACTTGTGAAAATATTGTGAATTAGTTCATGCAGAATAAGCAGGGCATTTAAATACCTATTTACCATTTCTTGATAGTATTGTGGAAAAATCACTGTACATCACCTAATAAGAAGTTGGTATAATTTCCACTTTTAAGATTTTTCACTGCATAAATCAGTAAACTTACCAGCATCTAAGTTTTTTATTTTTAATATTGAAAATATCTACAAAAGAGGTTATGCACAAAGATTAAACTGTATGATGAATACAAATTAGCTTCCTTATTGGCCAATTGTAATCAGTGAATTAACACACAATGTTTAAACAATGGATTTAAACATGTAGTAAGTTCATGTCTAAAAATATATTCAAATTCATGTTTTATATTTCATAAAACAAACACACTTAAAAAGCAAATGGCAAAGTGGAGATAAGTTTTGCTATAAATATAGTAGACAGGTTTATAATTCTTTTACAAAGAGCTCTAAGAAATTAATTGAAAATTCCACTGAGACTGCAATAGAAAAATGGGCAAAGAAGCCAGGAAGGTAATTGTTTGAAGAGGAAAAATCAAATGGCAAATAAATATACAAAAAAAAATCATTATCTAAGAAGTTTTGGGGGAATTATTTTTATCACTTGTTATATAGTGCTTTTTATGCCGTGGTGGTTCTCTTATATAGTTCTGATGTGCTCTCCAATTAGTGTAACCTGATGAGACCTGTCAGCATTGTCACCTCTACAGAGAGAAGGCTGGCAATGTGTGTCCAGATTAAAAAAATGTCTACAGCCTTGGGGCTGGCAAACCAGGCAATGGAAAAAACCAGATATGCTGAGTAATTGTCATTAATAAAGTTGTTCATGCATTCATTTTTAACAGGAAAAAAGAAAACTCAGTGTCCTACAAGAGGGAATTGATTTTAAAAATAAAGAATATTTAGTGAAAGAAATGCTTATATAATAATGTTATGCGAAAACAGCAATCTGTGTTCAGTTTTGTATGTTTATGTGATTGACTATATAACTAGTTTATTACTGAGCAGGACATCTAGAGGTTCAGTCAAAAAGAGCTTTCCTTTTCCTCAGTACTATATTCAATCTGCTATGTCAGCTCTCCTTTCCACACCAAAGAATAATGTCTTAGGCATGTCACACAGCTCAAGCAATTCTTATTTTCAGGAATTGAGAAGTCCAGTTCCCAATGGCAGAGTTAGGAAAAACATTATAATGCCTTTTGCTCCTATGAAATTCATTCAATAAATTTTATTCTTTTTAAAATTTTAATAAAATTTTAGCTATTTTGTATGTAGCTTGGATGTGTGTGATGGATGGGTTAGCTAGGGATCCTGGAATGATTCTGGATACCTCTCAGCAAGCTTGGAGGTGATACATAAAACACTTCTAAGAATATGCCAGGTTTTCTCACCTATTGTCTTGAGCTGTGGTGATGAATCCAGCTCCTCTCTTTAGAATATGTGGGCACTTCTCACCTATGACTCCAAGTGATCTTACTTTTGGACATTTGTTAAAAGTCTAAAAAGAGAAAAATATGCTTTTTAATATTCTTTTAATTTTAGAGTTTAGATGATTTCTGTTGTCTTCTTGATATTGTACCTTATGAGTTTTCTATAGTCATTCAGTTTTACACTCATAATTATGAGAACAAAGCAAGAAATACGAAGTAATTCCATTCTTCTGGTCCATTACCTAAAGTGCATTGTAATCTTCTTGAGGGCAATGATCATTTGTACTTTCTACACAAATCATGGGTACTGAATAAAATCACCATTTAGAGAAAGGACAAAAGTGGTAGATAGTAGATTAATCAATATTGATCATAGAAACAAGAAGAAAAGTAGACTTAGGATGGGATTTTATTCACCTAAATAGTAAAGTGATATAACTATACTTTTACTTCCACCGCTGCTTTTTTTTTTAAATTTCAACAGGGGTGCATGTGCAGATTTGTATACGGATATATTACATGATACTGAGATTCAGGGTGTGATTGATTCCATCACCCAGGTAATAACGCCCCATCCAACAGCTCTTTTTTCAGTTCTTACTTCACTGATCCCCACTCTAAACTACTATTTTGACTAGTAACACTGCATTACTGCTTCTCCCTGTGGGATAAACACTACTATGCTAAATGTGATAAATGAAGTTTGCTAATTTTGTGTCACGATAACTCTAAAGAAAGAATTGGTCATTTTAAGTTGAGGCTTAGAGAAGCAGCATATTTTCACTGAACAAGAAAGTTGGTGCTGGGTGTGGTGGCTCATGCCTGTCATCTCAGCACTTTGGGAGGCCAAGGTGGAAGATCACTTGGAGCCAGGAGTTCAAGACCAGATTGGACAACAAAGCAAGACCCTGTCTCTAAAGAACAAAGCAAAACAAAAATAAACAAACCAAAAGGAAAGGGAACAACCAGTACACAAACTATGTTTGACATAGTTAGAAAATCATGCTCTTTCTACTGCCTAGACTACAGACCATTTTTATAAGGAGAACTATGGAACATAGTGTTGTCTTTATATTCAAAATCCCCCTTTTTGCCAAGGTAAAAAATCATTAGGCATGTGGGGGCATTTGGTATGTGAGAAAACTATACTTTCTACTAAATTTCGCTATGAACTCAACATTGTTCTAAAAAAGTAAAGTTTGGTTTTAAAGAAACACCATGAATAGTTATTCAATAATCCTGAGTAATCAAGATGATTGGTAACTGGAATTTTTAGATAATGAAGATGACTAATGTAAATAGGGATATTAAACATATATATAAAATCCGAAACAGTGTAGCATAACATGTTCCCATGCAGAATTTATTTTGTTTTGTAAAGGGCGATTTAATTACTACTGCTTGCAAAGTCCGCCTTTTATTGAGATTAACAAGGTAGAATGCTGTAGCCACATGCTGAATCCCAGAGCTGGCTCAGATCTAACAAGAACCAGTTGCTTCATTCAATTTCTTTCTTCCTCCAAAATGCAATTAACAGATTATGATTAGTTGAACAAATTCCAAATTGTATTCAAATGAAAGCAATTTACCCAGCGTCTGGGTCCAACAGGTGATCATTTTCAAAGCTCCTGGAAGAATTGGATGGTTTCATCTAATTGTTCTCAGGAAGAAATGGATTTAAATGCTTGGTTCCAATAGGCCCCACCATGCGCAGCCCATATGGTGGTTCAGAGCTGTTCTTTCAGCTTCACTAGCCCAAAGGGCGGCCTGGGTAATTACATCTTGCTTCTAAAATATTTTTTATGATGGACTAAAATGTTTCAATCTAGCACAAAATAATAACTAAAACTTTCTCTAACTATTAGGCAAAGAAAGTTGCAAGGGCATATATATGTGTGTGTGTGTGTGTGTGTGTGTGTGTGTGTGCGCGCGCGCGCGCGCAAGTGGGCGGGTAATATTTGTGAGGTTGAATTGTAGTTCAGAGGAGGGATAGGTGAGAGTAGTGTTGCAAAGCACTAATAATAAAGATTGTTCGTGTGCTAGATGTGAAACACTGAAAGGAAGTTCACCTACTTTCAGTGAAGAGTGCATTATATTTTTCATTATTCCAAGAAAGAAACTGAAACTTAGGAAGTTTTTTTCCCATAAATCACATGTGGTTTGAACATAAAGAATCTGGGGATTCAAAACAAGGTATATGACACTGCAGGCCTCTTTCTTTCTTCCCCAGCAGGTTGCCTTTGTATTTTAAGAACCACAGAAATTTGGCTGAAACATTTCTGTCTTTAGTTCACCTAAGAAAATGTCTAGTTAAATATATTTATAATATAGTATTTCACAAATACATCAAAATTATTAGAGATAATGCTCACCATGACGGATCATATCCAAATAGTATTCTAATACTATAATTACAGCTTATCTTGAAGAACTGATCTGAAATGTACTCACATTTAAAAAAAAAAAAAAAAACTTCAGTGTTTATGTTCTTCTGGGGAGGGACTTTTGACAATGGTGTGCTGGAGAAATTGACCTAGATTGAAAAACCACACCCAGTTACACTACTTAGTGACCATGAGGGCATAGGTATTCATGTCAGTTTTCTAGATTTGTAACAAAAGATTTTTAAGGAAATATCCTCAGCATGTAATACCTCTGGTGACAAATTATTATTTTATAACTGCTAAGAAATAAAAAAGGCATATAACAACAGCATAGGGAATCAAAGAAAATAAAAACGTAAATGACTCTGCTGGGGTCCCATTGAATTTTGGCCTATAGCTTATAGTGCATTATCTTTATCTCTTGGTGTATCTCTGTCATTATGCCCTGTGATTCTCAAAGGGCCAGGTCCTATCTTACTGCAGTTGTCAACACCTAGCATAAAGTAGCTTCTCAATAACTGTTTATAGCTACAATCAACACATTGAAGGGATCTCATATCTAGAAACTACATACCAGCTTTCCCTGCTGTTCTATTCTTTCACATCAGTACAATCTGTATTTTTCTCCTTCATCAACATGGTTTGAAAACAGAGCACCTGTTAATTTCTCCTAGAAAAAGAATTCATTACCAATAAAGTATGTGTAAGTGTCAGAAATTGAATTGTGTTCCCTAAAATCCATATGTTGAATTCCTAACCTCCAGTACTGCAGGGTAACCTTATTTAGAAATAGGGTCATTACAGATTAAACTAGTTATGATGAGGATGTATTGTTATATGAGGGGCTTTCATTAGACAGAATGACTACTGTCTTTATAAAAAAGAAGTAATCTGGACACACACAGACACATACACACACACACACACACACACACACACACACACACAGAGAACGCCATGTGAAAACTGGAATTGTGCTGCCGCAGGCCCAGGACTAGCAGATGCCAGGAGACAGGTCTGGAACAGATCCTTCCCCAGACCCCAGAGAAAGCATGGCCCTGCCAACACCTTGATTTCAGAGCCCTAACTTACAGAACTGTGAGAAAATAAATGTCTGTGGCTCACCCGGCTTGTGATGCTTTTGTTTCAGCAGCCTTAGCAAACTACCACAGTGAGTCACATATACTGTGCATTATCCTACTTTCTTTGTTCAAGCAAAATCCTTCCATGTTGAATGAAAAATTTTCCCCTGAATCCTTTCTTGGCACCACCAGAGATTTTTTCTTTGTTTCTTCCCCCAAATCAAGATTATTCCCTTCTTCACCCCACAACCATAAATTTTTATCCTATGGTTATACAGACCAATCCATTTCTCCTCCCCAATTCCATTAGACTCCAAGTAATAGCAAGTACTTTGCATTTACTTACATTTTTCCATTCATTTTTATAAATTCTTATGTTATAGGTATTATCATAGTCAGTGGACAGTTAAAGAAAATGAGACTCCAAATGTTAAGTGACTTGTGAACACACAGCAAGTAAATGGGACAGCCAGGGTTCCAATTGAGCTTGACGTTTTCATAGACAAAAGCACAGAACTTTTATTTGGTTATGTCCACACACATAGGTAGTTTGACTGCAGTTGTCAGGTTAGTTTAAAAATTGTTCATATTGAAAAGGAAAATTAACTGAACTTGTCAGAAGCATCCTAACCAGAGTGACTTCATCTTGAACAAAAGTTGGATAGGGTCAAATCTGCTAGGTGATATTCCCAGGAGTTTGGGAACCCTTGCTCACAATATATTTATGGTTGAGGGAATGAGTTAATGATGTTAACAAACTAAATGAAGACCCAGTACTTATGTAGATATTCTGATATCTTAAAAACAAAAACATTCTTTAAGAATTCACTTTAAAAATTATCCATAAATTCTTGATGAAATCAATAGTTACACAAGAGAACAACAATACTAGTAACTTGTCACAAGCGGATCACAAGCTTTTGTAATAAAGCATGTGAGGCCATTACTCTTAGCTCTGTTATCCTATTTAAGCAAGCGCCATATTCGGGGTGGGTGCATTCCTCACCTTGCTTTCTGAGGATGGGTGACTCTGTAATAGAGTAATCTCTCTTAAGCTATCTTAACTTCTCCATACTTTGTGACTTACTCTGAATTCTTTCCTGCATGAGTTCCAAGAATCTACTTTGGGGGTCTGGGGCAAGACCCTTTTTCCAGTAACAAATTGAAGACCCATTTGCTTGATAGTGATATGAACAGGAAGCAGGGAAATACTGGGTAGAAGAGGGTGGTTCCCTGGCAAAGGCCCCACCCACACACCTGGAAACCATGGCCCTAAATGAGAACAGTTATCCCCGTTTTCCCCACCAAATTGTTACCTTTTTGGCCCATCCTGCCTCCACTATTCTGTGCCCATATAAATCCCAGACCTCAGTTGGCAAAGAGACAAGTGGCTGAGTGTTGAGAAGAGAAGCAGCAACTGACGTGGCTTAACTTCAGACACATGACTTCAGGGAGCAGCCCAGTGGGAGACGGCTGGGCTTCAAGGAAAGATCACCTTCCTGCTCCATTCCCTTTCTTGCTCCCCTTCTGCCAAGAGAGCCACTTCCACCGCTTAATAAAATTTTCTGTGTACATCACCTTTCAAACCATGCACATGACCTG